ACACGGTTTCTGAAGTGCACAGTTTTGACAACAGTTACCCAACAAAATCATACTCCCTCCGTTCTAGAAATCTTTGAGATGATGCATGCATATGATTTTTACTATGTTTACATGCAAATCTTGCACAAGTAGGGAGAGCACATCCTAACATCGTATGTCGGGTAGAGGTTAATTGATATCTAGAGCTTTTATTCACATTAAGCCACATAATTAAAATTGCATTACATATTATATTCATGATATGCATTAAAAAATACTGTATCCATCTTATGTGCCACGGATCTTTCCCAGGCAAACGCATATCGATTTCCTAAATTTTCTCTGACATTTTCATAGTTTTAAAAAACAGGTATCGCTTTCATTCACATTTTCCCAATTTGATAAACTAGCAGTAGCATTTGCACACAAAAAACAAACCAGTTCCATCCATATTTTAATTTCCGCTCGCGTACTGCAGATGCATAGCACACTTCCTAGAAATATTCTTCTCAAAAAGAAATTGAAGCGGTAGACAAAGTATACATTAGGTAGCACAAATATAGTCCCACAAAAATATTCTATTCAGATAAAACTCATAGTGCCCACTCCATGATAATGAGAAAAGGAATCAGAACTGTTCACCTGGAAGAAAAAAAGAGTATCAGAAACTGTTAATATCTATACCATCTTCAAAGTTCCAACCGCCCAACCTCAAGAAATACATTTTGTACTTCACTTATTTCCTTTGGCCAGATTACTTTTGGGAGATATGGGCATATGGCGCTCACATATGTGTGGCAGCGTAATATAGTAAGGCAAAAGTTAAGATTCTCCATCACCGTCTTGTCAACATCGATCACTAGCTTGTACTTTAGTTATGATGCCTGGCTAATGACACAGCCACAGACCAGCTAAATTCGGATTAGTTTATTGGGTCAAACTTTGCAGTTAGAAGGTTCTGCCTTCGTTTCCCTGCACAAATACGAATTTGGCATCCAACCAGTGTCTCCGGGACAGTTGTAGCTCAACTAGTTTAGAAAGTGAGGTATCCGGTTCCGGACGTTGTAGTGATCGAAAACTTGGCTCGGATGATTCATGAGTTGCAAATTCAGGTAACGACATGATGCTTGTCCTCACACCTTAGGTCTAATTTGGAAAATGCAATGTTTTTATTCTTTCAGGGAATATTCTAGTAAATATTTGTCGTAGCGCTCCAGGAATGAACAGCAGATTGTTATAAGTACTTGAAAATGACAATTTTTTGAAAAAATGCACGCAAATTGTCATGCCTACTAGTACATGCTTTAAATTTTCACAAAAAAAATACTTTTTGTGTCGTGAGAGAAAAAAAATTCAATGATGTAGAAAGCAAAACAACATAAATTTACATAACGCGGAACACCCGTCGATTTCTATGATTTTTCTAAAAGTATCCGCAAAAAAAACTCATAATTGGATAGTCAATTCTCACTAATAATCCACCCCCTTGAATTTCACTTTGTGGACCTTCCCTTGTGTTTCCAACCAGATGTTGCCACCTTCGCCCGTAAGTTCAATTTTGTGGAATTAGTCTGTGGGTGTAGCAAAACTCGTCAATATGATTCTTTGTGCAGTCAGAGTCCATTTGTTCTACTGTACAACTACATGGTTAGTCAACAGGCACGGTTTTGTCTGGCCATGTTTAGTCATCTCACGTCGCTCCTATGTATGAACAGTCGTTCTTTTAAGCTAGCGATCATGATCACGATTTAATTGTCTTGCTGCATTGATGCTTCAGTCATGAACATATATATCTACGCAGAAAATTCTAACATCGACTCGTTTCATTCCACTTCTTGATAATTAGTACTCCCTCTGCTCACTAATATAAGAACGTTTAGACCATATGCATGCTGGTTAACCGACGACGTCTTGTCAAATGAGGCTGAAAGCATAGATTCCCGTCTTAAATCAACCGGTGAAAGGCATCCAACTATCGATCGACATAGCTAATGCGAAACCACATATGGATGCGACCC